CAAAATATATATTGATATAAATTCTGCCCTTAAATATCAAAAGGCTTTAATTTGGGATGTTATTCCTACAGGTTAAAATTGCCAGCTTTTCAAAGGGGATCCGGGTCTTCCTGTTGCTCATCTCTTTCTCTGGTGTGACTTCTTGCAGTCAGAGCAGTCTGGATGAGATCTGTAGCAGTGTGGAGCGAAATCAGAAGCAGTCTGAGTAAAATAGGCACATCATTGAATGCTTAGACAACATAGTGTGGGATCATGTCTATCCTTCGAGGAATGGAAGCAAATTAAAACCAGTGCGCTAAAGCGTACAGAGCAGAGTAAAACATCCATTCACCCTTGCACCACAAAGTGCCGAGATACTAATACCACTCACCTGAAAGAGAAAAATGAGAAACATCATTTAACAGAAGGCTTCCTTCTTTTAGAATGCCCCCTCACTTCGCCCTCATCGCATAACCCCAAACTCTCTTTAGAAGAGCTCTCTCAATAATGTCGTTGTGGACTTATCTGGCTCTGACATTAGATAGCTCCTATCCTAGTTAAATGATGCAAAGGCCTGGGAGAGAGGAGGAGCAAGTGGGGAGGGACATAAGCGGCACCATGTTTTAGTAATGTCTCCTCAGCACAGTGTTGCGAAGCAAGATGATACTTAGAGAAAATGCTGGTGGGCTGATCGCATTTCTTGCCTTCTTCCTGCCTAGAAACCAGGCAGAGCATCTCATTACCAACAAAGCGAGCACAGACCTCATGTCAATCTGTGGCTGGGATGCAGCTCTCTTCATCACCAGAGTGCTGGGTAACTGTCATGTGCCATGCCTCCCTCTGAAGCGTTCTCCCAGGCGCCTTAAACACACTGAAATTCTGCCTAAAATAGAGCCCACAACTCTGCCACATAAATGAATCCTGCTTCCTTCTTTGAAGTCACGCCAATCAGATGGAGCGAGACTTCTGAAGCTTGGAAAGTACAAGTCAGGGTATGTGGGCTGACTGTCAGGTTTTGTGGGCAAGAATGGAAAGGGAAATTATCCCATGTAGGCACTTGCCAGTCTCTCTTCCACGGCCTTTGGGTCACATAACCAGCCTTTGAATCGTGAGCGGTTTAATGTAAGACCAGTCATCAACAAAGCACCTAGAAGCAAGGATCTATAAACGTGGACTCCTGCTGACCTTCCTGGCATGAGTGGGATACGTTTGCTGATGATGCTGCTGGGTAGATACTATAGGCTTGCTCAGTGAGATTGTGGCTGCAAACTCCCTCGAGGGCTGCTGACCGCTGACCCAGTAATTACTTGGCCTTTATCAGCATCCATTGACAACTGCCATCAATACCTGATACTCACACAGTTCCTCCATTAGTGCCTCCCCATGGGGCCTCTGTGGTTAAAGCAACTGGCAAGTGAGGAGGGGTGAGTTCTCCAGCAGGGCCCCTGGCACTAAGTGAAGTGACTGTGCAGCTTTCCTAGGGCCTCTGCCGCACCTGAGAGCTGAGTCTGTAAACGAGCCATTCAGTCAAAAATCAAGTGTGAAGGAACAATCTTCAGGGCCCTGTACAGGATACTGTGGAGATAGAAATGGAATTAGTTATAAACTCAGTGCCACAGGATATTACAAAAAGAACAGTGGTGCCTTTCCATGGAGCTGACTCCCTCTGATGTCCTGCGTGCTATCAAAGTCAGACGATGTATGGAAAATAGGGATCAGGGATTCAGCCAGGCCTGGACTCCAGCTTGTTGCTGTGTGCCATCGAGGCCATTCTGACTCCCAGGATCTTGTAGGATAGAGTGGAGCTGCCCCAGCTGGAAGGTCTTCTAGAGTAATTCTCACAAGTGCAGGTGGCCAGGTGATTTGTGATTATTTTTTTTTCTTTTTAAGGATAATACTTTTTTAAAAAATTATTACTATACTAAAAATCAAAATATATACTACCACGGAGTTGATTCAAACCCATAGAAACACTGTAGGACAGAGAATAATTTCCCCATAGAGTTTCTAGGCTGTGATTTTTATAGGTTGTAAAAAAATATAATCATTCATTATGATTGCTGAATCTGTGGGCTAGAGATTTGGACAGGACAGGGAGGAGACAGCTTATCTCTCCACCATGACGTCCAGAACTTCACTGAGAGGCCCAGAGGCAGGGAACTGAAATTCTTTGAAGGCTCTTGGACTCACATCTCTGAAATCCTTACTGATGCTTGTTTGGCATACAACGGCATATGATGGTGGAGGAATTCTTAGTTCATTTCTACATGAGCATCTCCATGTGATCTTTTTGTGCGTTTTTTTTAAACACTTTGGTTTTAGTGAAAGTATATGAAGTTACTTAGTTTCCCATTCAACAATTTGTATGCATTTTGTTTTATGATGTTAGTTGCAATCCCCTCAATGTTACAGTAGTCTTCCCACTTCCTTCTTGGGTCCCCTATTTCCATATGTCATTCCTTTCTGCCTTTTGAACTCTGTTTTTTAGCAAATGTTGCCATTTTACTTTAGTATGATTGATTATTTGGGATTTTTTTTCTATATTTTTATTTTATATTGGTTTGCATACACAATCTATATACATTGCGTGTCATTCATGTACATTGTGTTTCACACATTCATTCCTACATTTGCATAGTGTTTCAAATATCATTCATGTACATTGTGTTTTATAAAATTTATCACCATTGATTTATGCCTACTACTACCCCATCTTTTCAGGTCCTCACTGGATCTTTCCTAATTTTTTCACCCCACCCCACCGCTCCACTCACCACTCTATTATCCTATTTCCACCCTTCTGCCTCCCACCTCTTCCCCTTTTGGACTTCTATCCCCATCTTACTTGTTATTTTTCTATTTTTACACGAATGGTTTTATGCAATATTTGTCTTTGTGAGACTGAGTTAGTTCACTTAGCATAATGCTCTTTAGATTCTCCCATGTCATCTAGCATTTTACAAAATCGTTGTTCCTTAGTGCTGCATAGTATTCCACTGTGTGAATGTACTATAATTTCTCAATCCATTGACTTGTCTTTTTTAACTGCAGACCTTTCAGTTAGCAGCCAAGTATTCACCATTTGCAACTGTTGTTATTGATTTCTGTTGAGTCAAGCATAATTCATAGCAACCCTATGAACAAAAGGCCTGAAGCCTTTCTGTAACTAACATCATTTCTCTAAGTCCATAGAGTTTCCAGAGGCATGTGGTTTAGGAAGTGGACACCACTCCTGCTTCCAAACCTGTCTTAAATTGGGAGCTCCATCAAACACTATCCATCACGGGCAATCGTTATGGCATTTGATACCCCAGTGGCACAGGGCTCAGCATCACAGCAACCCCAGGTTACCTCAGTAAAGCAAATTGACAGAAGAGTGCTGGATGACTTAGAAGAATGTTCCTCTGAATTATAATAACATGAGGCCCGAGGGCCTCTTTGCCACTGGGGCTTCCTAATTCCAGTTTACAGTCTGAGTAACCTCAGCTAAGTCTTTTTACCTCCCTTTGCCTCAATTTCCATTTATTTTAGATAGTGGTTTGACTAACATTTCATGGTATTGATATGAGAATGTAGGTCAAAACCACATCACATAGGTAAAACTACTTGTGGGGGTGTTATTATTAATAGGCTTTGGTGTCTAGGCCTGTAACCTCACTGTGTAGTTGGGAGACTGTCTGTGAAGTCAGAAACCAAGTGGACCTACTTAGCCACACTTAGTCATAGGGTCCATTTGCTGCCCCATCATGCTCCCTTTTTATCATATCAGATTATATCCAGCCAGGCCACTCTTGTGAAAACCACACTACATTCATTGAAGCCAAAAATCAAATCCAGTTGCTTTATCAGCTCCTGTACGGCCATATGTTTTAGAGTGAATCTGTCCTTCATGGAATTTTCAAGACTGTGACATTTTGGAAAAAAATCATCAAGACTTTTTTCCAAGAATCCTCTGGATAGGTTTGAGCTCCCAACCTTTCAATTAATAGCTGAGCACTTGATCATTTGCACTACCTAGGGATTCCCAAGGTCACAGGCTACTTCTACAACAAAGAAGTACTGTACTTCCACCTGAACCATTTGCCTTCAGGCCCTAATTCAAACCATATCATTTAAAATTTAGGTTTTTTTCCTAATTTCATCCCTGAATAGTCATGTCACCTGTATTTCATAAGTTTCAAAGATCTGTTTTAGAATCCTAACTCTGCCCAAACCTTCAGAAAATTCAACAAATGTTACACAGCATGTAGGAAGCACAGCTGGAAAGGGCTTCTCATCTCTCGGACTATCAACCTGAAAATGCTTGTGCTAGAATATCTCCCTGGAGAGTCCTTCGGTGACACAAACTATAAACTATAAACTTGGCTGCTACTCTAAAAGTTAGAGGTTCCAGTCTAACCACAAAAGTAAAAGAAGAATGGTCTCATGATCTCCTTTTGAAAAACCAGTCACTAGAAATGAAGCACAGTTCTACTGGGACACACATGGGATAGCCACAGTGAGAAGCTACTCCAGAAAACCTGGTCTTCTAGTAACCCTGTTGTAGGGGGGTATCAGCGAGAGTCAGCCAGGAGAGTAGACTCCTGGTTTTGTGCTGGTGGCCAGATAGAGGAACCAGGACAACAGGGGAAGAGATGCCCTGAGCTCATGTGTGGAGCATGATGGGAAAGCAGGCAGCTTTTGGGTAGACCAGGCCCTCAGTACCTTAAGGAGCCCTGCTCTCTGGTCATGAGAAAAAGGAGATGTCTGTGCTTCCTTGGCAGAAACCACACATCTAATTTATGCAAGTAGCAATGAGCCATTGCACTTATTAAAGACCTTTTCTTCCCTCATGTGGACTTGAACCATGTACCCTAAACTTTTCTTCATGCACACATCCCTGTCACTCTCCTCCACACACTTGTCTCCAACCCCAGTTACAGATTCTGGTCAGCTTCAGGCAGCAACCCTCCAGAAGCGGGCCCAGGGGTCTTCACATGCTGGAACAGGGCCCAGTCCTCACCCCAGGCTGTCTCTTGCAGATTATCGGGACCATCCCACTGATGCCAAGTCCAGGGCCATCGGGCCAAACAGCGAGCGGCACCCAGGGCCTCCAGGTGCAGCCCATCACCCCCCAGCTCCTGACCAACGCCCAGGGCCAGATCATCGCAACGGTCATCGGGAACCAGATCCTGCCAGTGATCAACACGCAGGGCATCACACTGTCCCCCATCAAGCCAGGCCAACAGGTGAGATGCTGCATCAAAGACCCGGGTCTCCTCTGACACCTCTGCCTTTTCCCACCTGCTCTCCCACCAATGAATTGTCATTATTTAATTACAGTATGTCAATCCCATGGAGCCTCACTTAGCAATACTTCCAGGAAAGGCAAGTAGCTGTGTTTTCCATTATTAGTAGTGAGTGAGGGTAATCAAATGACTCTCAAATATAAAAGAATGGGTATATTACAATGGCCTAAAATTCAACAATTAGATTTACCTAGTTGCATGATGCTTAATTTTCCCATTTAAAACAAAATGATCAAGAAGAAACCAAGGATACCTTTCCTTTCTTTAAAAAAAATAGTTTGCATTCTCAGGTTGATCCTGCTGAGACCACTTCCTATATATTAAAGAATATTTGTTGTTGTTGTGTGCTGTCAAATCAGAACCGACTTATAGCTGACCTTCCAGCAGATTTCCAGGGACAGTAAATGGCTGAGGAGGAGGTTGGTGTATCCGAACCACATGTTTTAAGCTTGATTGCACAACTTCTTACCACTAGGCCATCAAAGCTCTTAAGGATTTCTGTGTGATTAAGATTCTCCAATGATATGATGATCCAGTCGATTTTTTTCCCCATCTTAATATCAACTAAGTGATTCTTTGGTGTTATGCAAGATGATGGGTACAAGGCCCTTAAAAAGAAAGACATGGTGCCTAATCACACGTACGTCTAGTGAATGGCTTCATTCAGCAAACATTCTTTTGCTAACATTCTTTTGTTAATATAAGATACTTATTTTAGGATGTTTCCTACCTCCTTCGATAGGGGCTGGACGTTTTTTTTTTGCTGCTCATAGTGTTTTAGGGTTCCGGTTTCTGCACTGCGTCGCCTGCTTTTGTTGCTTGTTTTTTTTTTCAATTTTGGTATTCTGACTGGGTTGAGTTGTTGTCTCCTTGTTGGTTTGTTTTTGTGTTATGTTTACTCCTGTTGTCTTGGGCGACAACTTTTGCGTTTTGCTTCTTCTTGTTCCTTGTTTTGTCATTCTCCTGTTCTCGGGTTCTTCGCTGTTTCTTGTGGGGTGTGGCTCGTTGTTTGTGTTTGTCTCTTGGCTGATACCATTTGTTTTGCGTTCTTTGAAGGGTTTGTGTCAGTTAATTGTTTGTTGTGGTTCGTCTTTTTCTTTTCTGCCTGCTGGTGGCTGGGGTGTTGATTTTGTGTCTGCGTTAGTGTCTGTCGGTGTCTTCTTCCTCTTTCATGTTGCTTTCATTTTGCTTCTTGGTGCGTTTCTTTGTTTTGTTGATGTTGAGTTTGTTTTGGTATTGTAGTCTGCTTTCTTTGTCGTTCTGTAGCAATCTTTTGAGGTCCCTTTAGCTTTCTGTTAGGCTGGTTGTGTCGTCTGTATAGTCTAGGTTGTTTGTGAGTTTTGCTTTATTCTTGGTGTGATTTTCTTCCTCCTGGGGGTTGTCCTTCTTCATGATGTTTTCTTGGTATCTGTTTAAACGTTATGGGGGCCTGGTTCGTCCGTTCCAGATTGTGTTCCTGGTTGGTTTAAATACCGTGGCTTGCACAGTGAGACTGGTGTTGATGTTCATTTGTGAGGTGTGTTTGAGCCTGGTTAGTGGCTGGGTGCAGTTGTGGTTGCTCCATAACCCCGGTGCAGGATAGTTGGGGGGGGTTTTGGGGGTTCCCTGTGGTGGGTGGGATGTTGGCTGGGATTTTTGTGCGCCCGGTGGCCGTCTGTTCGCTTTCCGTTCAGGGTTTTGTCTGTCATCTTGTGGTGTGTGGCTGCTGTTCTTTCTTGTGTTTGTCGGGGTTTTTATCTTGTGTGCCACGTGGTGTGCCCTCTTATTTTCTTGGTGGTTGTTTTCGTGTTTATGGTGGTTTTTTCTCTTGTTTTCTTGGTCCTCGTTTTTTTTGTTTTTCTTCGGTGTTTTCCAGTGTGGGTCCATTTTTGTTTTCCTTCTGTGGAGCTGTGTCCCCTGTGGTACCTTGTGGCTTTCTTGTACTTCTTGCCTTCTCGCGTTGTGGCCGTTACTGTGTCCTTCTGCTTTTTTACTGGTGTTGCTTTCTTTTGGCGGCTTTTTGTGTTTTTTTCTTTGTTGTCTGTTTCCACGGACGTTTGTTTTTGTACCCTTCTCTTGGTATTTACGGGGAAGGTTTGTTTTTGCCTTTCTTAAGGCCTTTGGCTGTTCCCTTTCCGTACCTTCTTTCTTTGTTCTTTTTGTGGTCTTTTGGTTGTTTGGCGCTGTTTTCCTTCGTCACAGTTTGGGGGCTTTCTTTTTTTTTCTATCTTGTTTCTTTATTTTCGAGTTCTCTGATTGCTAGCAAGTTATGGGTTTGCTTGTGGCTTGCGTCGTAGACTCCTTGGTGCTGATAGTGACATTATATGGATCGTTTCGTGAGGTGTCTGTTGTATTTTCAAGTGATTTTTTGAGGTTCGTATTCTCATTGCTCCTCCTTCGCTTAATTTTTAGAATGTTTCTTTAAGTCTGTTCTCCATGTTGGTCGTGCTGTTTTTTTGTTGCGGAACCATGTGCATGGGTTTTGACACCCGTCCGTGTGTCTTGTAGAGGTATGAGGGATGGATGGGTGTCGTGGGATTACCTTTCTAACCTGCGGACGCTGATTTGTAATGTCTGTAATAATAATTCTGTTTTTTTATGCCCTGTATATTTTCGTGCGTGCCATGGAGTTTTGTATGTGGATGTTGTTTCAGGGGATTTTTTTTGGCCGTGTGTGTATTTTGCCAGCAGGGTTTCCGTTCTTTGGTTACTCTTCCGGGGCGTTTATTTGTTCTTTTTCTGTGATGTTTTTTGGTGTGTTGGGTGGTTCTGTTTCGGGTCTTGACGTTTGTTCGGGTGAGCCGTGTGGGGTGGTTTAGGTTTGTGTATGGTCTCTGGTGTCCGGGCGTTTGTTGTTTGTGGTACCCGTCTGCTGTGTTTGTGAGTCTTTTGATGTGGTCAGGCGTTCCGTCTTCTTCACGGTGGCTCGTTGTTGGTGGTTCTGGGTGCCTTTCTGTTTTGGTTAGTGTTGCGTGTGTGATGTTCTTGGTGGTTCAGTTTTCTTTACTCGCGTTGTGGGGTTCTCTGCACTTCCGTTTGCTGCGTCCGTTTTTTGGGTGCGGAGCCTCATGGGTCTTTGGTCCGCGGTTGTGGGTCGCTGTGGCCGTGTTTTTTCTGGGTTTTGTCTGCGCGTTCTTTGGTGCGGGTGCTTGCGCTGCGCTCGTGCCCTGTGGCGGTGTTGTGCCCTGTAGTTTTCTGTTTTTGTTCTGTGGTTTTTGTGCTGATTTCCACTTGTCCTGTCATTTTGTTTTTCACCTGTTGTCGTTCGTCGTGTGTATGCTGTTTGGTTTTGTGTCTTGTGGTTTGCTGCTGTTCTTCTTCTGGTGGTATCCTCTGTGTCGCTATGGCGTGTCTTTTTCCGGCTGCTGGCCATTTTTTTGTGACTTTAGTGTCTTTGGTTATTTTTTCATCTTTCGCTGATATTTTGCTTAATCTTTTGTTCGTCATGTCATTGTCCGTCAGCGGGGGTTTGTTTTTGTGTCTGGCGTTTGTCCGTGGTTGTTTAGTCCCCTTCTGCGGGTGCCTGTCTCTCATTGGTGGCTTCCTGGTGCATCGGTGTTTGGGTGTAACCTGTCAGTGTGTTGACCATCCTTTTTTTCTTTGGGCGTGTTGACATGGCTTTGGTCATTGCCTTTGGGTTCTTTGTTTTGTTTGGGTTTTTCTTTTTTTGTCGGGTCATGTTTGGAGCTTTTGGTTCACTTTTTTTGTTTTTCTCCAGAGGAAATCAGGTGTGAGGTGTGCCAGAAGACATTCAAACGCAAAGATTATCTCAAGCAGCACATGAAGACACATGCCCCGACGCGGGATGTGTGTCGGTGCCCCAGAGAAGGCTGTGGAAGGACCTACACCACCGTGTTTAACCTTCAGAGCCACATTCTCTCTTTCCATGAGGAGAAGCGCCCATTTCTGTGTGAACACGCTGGATGCGGCAAAGCGTTTGC